CTTAGCTAATTTTAAAAGATAATATAATTCAACACATATCAATTAAGTATGACTTAATCGAATTGACTAGATACATTTTAATCATCTCTGTTTGCCTAAAATAGCCTGAACTCGCAACTAACTCGATATAATATGTATTTATTATCTGTGGTACCGTTAAGTGAACGCAAGCCTTACTTTCAAGTTCACCCACGGACAGTGAGGCCCTTTTGATTTTTAATTAGTTTTGTCCGAGATTCATAATACAAACTTACATAATAGTATTATATAAACACATACACCATTGTAAGCACCTGTTCCCTATTCATTAAGTAGATATCACAATCGCGTTAATCCAATTAATTATTGTGAAAATAATATTAAATTATGAGTGTTTTTCGTCATAATTAACAGCCCGTAATAGTTGGAGTAGAGTAGAGTGACAGATAGGAGCAATTAGGCCATTCGCGGGTGACTCACTTGAATATAATAAGAAAAGCTCTACTAGTTTCGAACCACAGAGGGGTTCTTCCTCATGAGCAGCATGCGCGGTCGCGGCGATGTCCCGAAGCCTACTGAGGTAGCTTTTCTCAGTATATTCACGTGAGTAACCCGCGATTTTTAATTAATTTAGTATGTGTCACGATAGTTATTATAAAAATACGCCATTTTATAAATTTTAATATTAAAGATCGAAGTGCACTCGATCTCGGTCCGCCATATCATTGGTTATGGGAATAATCTCTACCAATGACGGGTGAAAATGCGCTCACTTCTACAGTTCGAATTGGCGGTTAAAAAATAGCCTAGCAGTTTGGTTTTCGAATAGGCAAACATTCGCTGTCAGTTATGGGCTTCCTCTACACGAGGAGCGCCTTTTGATTTATTAAAAGGCGCTGCCTGTCAATTGTGAGGTCCCATAATCGACTCTTTCGACACCCACGGAAAGAGTAGGTGCCTAAGGGCGTGGACAAAATATTTTTTCTCAACTGCACGTTTTTTGTGAGTTTTATATTACAGGTGAGTTCATGTAACAAAACAATTAAAACAAGCGTTGAAACTGATCAAAAGTTACAACGTGTTATTAACTGAATTCAAAGCAAAAAGAGGAGTTTCTCAACTCGACGAAATGTTTCAGGTAGGTCCCTACTTCACACCTCGAAGAGCGAAAAGCGACTGCGAAAAAGGAAGCTTCAAATTTCTGATAAATCATTAGAATCGTTTCCAAAATATTGGAATTTACGAGAGGAAAGTGTGAAGTTTATCATTGTTCTATTTGTAGCCTGCTATGAACGCCTCGAGGGGGAAAATTGTCACCTAACATTTTATCATGCCGGTCAACACTAACTGGTTAGTTCAGTAATTAAATCTGTTGCTGCTGACAAGGTGTCACGGTGTCGAGCCCGCTTTTGTCGTTGCTATTGTTTATTAAAATTTACTTTAACATATACTTGAGTTTTGTACGTTACCGTGTTACTTTAATGGTCGCTGTTGTCATGTAAAATGAGTCCCTAGTATGGTTTCGCCCCCAAAGAAATTCTTATAATAATCCCTATTACCAGAATTTCTTTGAAACCAGTGTGTGGCTCGGCTCGCCCATCATTATATGGAGCTTTACACAAAACCATGTACATACCGACAATATCTCATATTCTGACATAGAAAGTAGTCTAAGCTCACTAACAATGTTCAAATAAGAATAAATCCAAATTGTTTTGAGGAAAGTTCTTTGACTTGTATAAAGAACGGGTTAGAACGAAAACAACGGTCACGGTCTTAACTACAGACTGCAGACCATAGCTACGCCTTGTCCCATTCTCAAAAGAAATCCCCGAGTAAAAATATATATAATTCAAAAATAGGTACCACAACTGTGGAAGATCCGGTGACTTCAACGATGCAGAAAGATTTATAAAAATTCGAACACATATTTGATATTTTCTAAACCTCCGTCTTTATCGCTGCAGTAGGTACGCCACACGAAGCAAATACTGCTACGTACTAAGTCTTGTTATTATAAAATAAATATGGAGTTGGAAAAGCAAATAAAGTTATCTGCATTGCATGTAATTTACAGACATCACATTCGGATGATAAAAAAGTTATGAAACTCATCCGAAGTTATACAGTTAACAGACACAAGTTAGCGAATGCGAAAAAACTCAAAATAAAATTTGGTCAAAGGGAACTGTAAATAACTCTTTAAAGGTTTCCGATGTGTAAAATTTAGCGTATGGTGTTACTAATTTAATGTAAAAGTTTGTTCAGATGTTTGTAAGTTAAACATGAATAAACGGCTGAACTGCGAGTTAAGCTAAACGAGTGTCCTTTGACGGGACAAGTGCATTATGAATACTTAGTTAGGTACTAATTTTGTTTTTAAAAAGTTAAATAGAAACTCTTAAAATAATCGGTGGGTTTAAAATATGATTTTATAGACTCACTTGTTTATTTTCAGAAGGATAGGAAGAATAGGTCCTGAATAGCGTCAATGCCTTGGTCTCCTTGCATGTTACTTTGTCAACACGATTGCAATTTACAAGCTAATGCAAATGATGAGATGATTTTTGATATGTGTACTTAGAACTATGTTCACTGTGGAGTTTTCAATGCATTATGCTAAGATTACCTTCTTGAATAAGGCTACCTACATTATGAATAAGTCCGTCTCGAGGAAATATGCCCTGAGTAGCCTGAGTTCTTGAATACGTAGTCGGTACCTGCCTAAGTACTAACTAGTATAATTTCTTTCCTAACATGTGGGAGGCTCGCGGGAGCTTAATTACCATAAATCTGAATGAATAGAAACCAAACTTTGAAAGGATGAACTGACAAAACGAATGGCTAGTTACGTAGCACACGTACCTTAAGTAGGTGTCTCACCGGCAACGGTGAACGAGTAACGAGTAGAGATAGAATTGGAAACGAGTTGACGAACCTCGGGGATCGAGTGCGTATAGTTCTTCTGATACATGCTCTTGTGAGTGCTCGCCGGCAGTGTGAACAGTCAGCGATCAACTACGTGCATATGCGTAATCTCTTTATTTACACGAAATTTATATCTATTAAACCTTTCTTGGGCAAGAAACTAGCCAATAACATAACATCATGTTACTTACCTTTTTTCGTCCACGATGCCTACAAGTAAGCTTATTATTTAGCGGTAATGTACTAGTTGCACCTACTGTACTAAGGTACTGTAATATCCAAAGCAATTATGTCACATGTAAACATCACTAATCACACACAGAAGTACAGAACCGAACTAACAATATGGTGATCATACAAATAATTGTATTGCAACCGTATTGGATTTAAACAACAGGTGAATATCAACCAAATGAACTATGCAGCCTGGTACAGCCAAGTTTGTCTGATTGGAACGCAATTTTTAACGTGGATAGGCAGCGCAGTTCTAGTGTCTCCGTTTTTATATTGGTCCACATTTTACGTGGTCCACAAATAATAATGTTGTTCCTGGTATCTATGATGTTTATGTAAGTTTGTATGAGTATGTTTGCTAACTCATCTACGGCTACGAGACAGGCAGAGAATCTTAATTTGTAACGAGTACTATGCCCAAATACTCAAACGCCACTCAATTAATCGCTTAAGTCACAAGTATAATTATGTCACTATTCTTCGTAAAATGACAGAGATGGCACGATATTTAAGTACTACTTAAAATTGAATAGCCTAGTTTTCTCGATAAAAAAAACTTTTTCCCAAAGGAGTATCTAATAGGCGCTAGGTCCTGTAGGTAGGAGGTGCTGTAGGAACAGGCATTGCAGTGTGGGAGCTCCGGAGTAGGTCTATAAGAGGACATGAAGTGCCCCCAATACAGGTGATTTTGGTGACCACTGTGGAGGTTTCAGAGAGGTGAAAACTTACACTCGTTAGTTTTTTTCCATATAAAGATTTTTATATTTCCCTAACACCCTCAATTCGTTCAGTATGATAGTTAGCCTACATAATTATTATTATTACGAGTAGGTACTATTTTAGTATTTTAATGGTTTTACACTTAATTACCTGCTCTGCTCGATATCCAATTTGATACTAATAATTATCTACCCACAGTAATTATCACTGTTTACTGTTTAGTGCTACTATGCCGTTACTAAGTACGTAGTAGCATGTATTTTGTTGTAGCTATGTGTATTTTTAGTGTGAAATATTTCTAACTACACGTATACCTACTCTTAAAAATGTCATAGTAATTGAGGATTAATTTATCTTCTATTTATATATTACCAGGTCGGCACATAATATTTTTATTTCTCCTAAGTACGTATATAGTACACGACAAAATAAAACATGTTTTCAAAAATAATCCTTTAAAAATAATCATTTTTTGTAGGTAAAAGAATGTCTCTGAACAACCTACATTATATTAAATAACGAATTAATTGGTGCGCCTACAAGACTGTTTGATTCGTGCACCTTATAGTTGCAAGACAACCGCTAAATTTTATCAGGCGCTTTATAATAAATCTACCTGAAGAATTCTTGTTACCTTGTACCAGCCCAATAATAATAAGCTGGATACTTAACTTCGGTAAATCTAATATTCTAGGCAATTTTACAATCCTTTCATTTATTTTATTGTTAGTACTTACTTACTTAGCAAACAAAAACTACAGAAAGTAGTACTTACCGTAGTTTTTGTTTTTGTCCCGTAGTTATTGTCTCATGTCATGTCGTAATATTGTAGCGCTGTAGCTGGTCACCATTTCATACCTAAATTCAAAAGAATCTAACCGTACAGTAGTTGAATAATCACAAAAGCTAAATGACAAATGTGGATTGGTATGAGCAAAAGCGGGAAAAGACATTTTGTTGCCACACCAGAATAAAACTGGGTTACGATTTTATTTTATTTACAGCTTGCAACATGACAATTAGAAAAGTGTCAAAGTCAAGAACAGCTGTTATCAAAATAGTTATCAAACTGCAAACACTGGAGAGAATGTAAATAAAGCGAATTGTTCTTAAATGAAGATTCACAAATAATTGGCACGATGTGTACTAAAGGAGCAGCTATAGCCGAGTTATTTACGAAGGCAATTGCAACCACTAAAGGATTCGATCAAAATCTTCGAAAGGTAAATGTTTAAATAAAAATCTTATAGCAGGTTACAAAGTGTATTTTATTAGTAGATCTAAGTAAATTATATAAATAATTTCGGCATTCTGGTTTTGGATATTAAGATTTATTTGACTTTGATATTTTTTACGGTTTCAGCCGTAGTTTCGACTAAGAGGTGACGTAATCTCTCCTATTATTTTGTTTGGGCTTCATGTTCCTCTATTTCTAAGAATGTTGAATTCTTGTTATTTAACAAGCTGTCTGTTTTACTTAGCTGGTTAGCAACAGAAACTTATTATTTACCTACTTAATTATATGAGTAGGTAATGGGATATCAAACTTACTAAAAGAGTTGAGAACAATAAAATCGATTATCTGTTCAATTTTAAAACTGTAATATACTTACAAAACTTATTGATAATATTATTAACTTTTACAGTTGAAAGTAGTATGCTGTGACAATGGACGGATGACAACTGAATTTCAAGTGGGACCTGAACATCTGAACCAGCGTGGAACATTACACGGTGGATTCATAGCACATTTAGTAGATGCCATATCAACATATGCACTAACAACTAACGAAAAAGTTGACACAAGAGGTGTTTCAATAGAACTCAGTGTGAGGTACAAAGATTATAAATGAAACAAAAATTACTTATCTGTGGTTTAGTTCCATTTTTAAAGAAATACTCTTTTCTTTTTTTACAGCTACATGAGTGCAGCCAGAGTTGGAGATAATGTTGAAGTTGAAGCTATAACAAAAAAGGTTGGAAAGAAAATCGCTTTCCTAGAAGTCCTAGTGAAGAATAAAGATAAAAATCAGTTACTGGCTACCGGTAGACACACCAAATACATAGGAATATAATAATCTATCTTGTAGCTAATTATTTTGTAGATATTTTGTTGTAGCTATAAACTAGACAGTGGTTTTCTGATGTGTACAAAATGTATTTTATTTTAGATTTCTTTTATTTTTATTGAATAAAATATCCTTCTTTTCATATTGTAATTTCTGTACTAAGTGTATGTAATGTAGTAATAATTATAACTAGAATTTGCTTCACTCAGTAGTAAAAATACATGTGTAGTTTAATGTTTCATTCATATCATAAAACTAATTGATTTCAGTACAGCAGATTAAAACAGGTAGTTGGTTACCTAAGGATTTCAAATAAAACAACACTTACATTTTTCACGTTTTATTAAACACCCAGTTACATTGACACTACATTGTAACAGATTTAAAATGTGGAATATAATTTTAAGCCTGCATTACCCTGACCCCTGTAAACTCCTGGGTGCTTACTCTTGAATCTAATTCCGGTTTAACAACATTGGTTGGTAGTTTCATTCTCTTGAGTTGCTACACTAGCGCCCCATTGCATCCCTATTGGGTGGATACTGAATCAACTAAATGCTATTAAGTTTGGCTAATATCCGTATTATGGTCATTATTTTAGAGTTGTAATTGTGTTGACATTGAAAAATTTAATTGATATTTTGTTGGATTTCGTTTCAAGAGTAAGCTTCTCGGGCAGGAGTGCCAAATTCTTAGGTCTAAATAATTCGTACCATTATAAAGGTGCTAGTTTTGACATTAGACATTTTGAATTCCTTATCAGTTGTCTGTATCACATGATGCGAGTATTTATCCTAACATTGATACCATTCTGCCGAAAAGAGATAGCACCATTTGTGCAACACCATCACCTATAGACAAATTACAATAACCTATTATCATACCTAAGTACTCACATTTTTCACAGACAAGATCTTATTCATCAAATTTTCTAGACACCTTTATCTTTTCCAGTCATTCTTTTTTTAGATAATATCTATTAATTAATGACTAATTCAATATTGGTAAATGCTTTTAAATGTTTAATTGAACATCTACATCTACTCACTACTTTTAGAGGTATTTTTATTAACCTGCTATCTCTTGACTAAAGTAACATCTCGCTAACTCATTTGATTGATACGTGAACCTTAATACATGAATCGGTGGTTATTTAGGTTGATACTAGGTACCTAATGTAATGTTGGACATCTATATTCGACCCAGGAACATAGAAGGGTGCTAACTGTAGGTTTAAAACTACCACAGCCTTTGTTATACGACGTCTCAATTCTCAGAAACTTTCCTATCGTCCGTAACTAATGGCCTAAAATCATGGAGGCATGTCGGCAAAATGCCATGGGCACCTAGCTGGAAGAGGGCCCCAGTTCAGAGGTGTCCATCTGAACTTCTCTGTTGTTATTGGTAACGGAGGCCCATCAGATGAATATGCCACGGGCTCCGAACGGTATAGTTACGCGGACTCCACTGTTCGTAACCATTTGCACAGGAAATTGCCTGCACCAACAGCGATGTATTGTGCGACTTGCGACAGATGACAAACAAATAGGATAGCTCATTATATCACTATCACAAATGAGTAAGCTGACGTTGACTTTCAAAAGTTTTGCTTTTAGGTAAACTAGTTTCGGTACAGTAACAGAGGCAGTAACAGAGGTAGTACAAGTTTAATTTACGTTTAAAGTATTCGAAACGAGTATGCGTTCGGCACTCTGATTGGCCGGCACCAATGAAGCAACCAATCAGAGCGACGAACGCGTATTCGTTACGTTTATTTTAAACGTAAAACAAACTCATACTAATGCCTCTGGTAGGGACAGAAACGTACCCACATTCCGCCAAATTGATTAGGTAATTATAGAACACGTACCACGAATCGCGATCAAATAACACTTCTTAATTGTTAGTTCTCAATGTTTGTTCGATTTAGGTAAATAGGTATCTACTCTATTTTTAGAGGTACTCCTGCAATCTAACTGCGTAACAAAATTACGCTTTGCAAGTCCACTGTGTAACAAAACGCATGCGCCTTATTTGAGACTCAATTTCTTGTCAAGTCAAGAACGTGGGAAGTGATATCATAGTTTGATCTAGGATAAGCAATTAGCAGATTATTAAAATTACCCCCTTTATACAGACGAACCTTATCTTATAGAAATTAATACCTCATGAAAGGATACCTTCAATACGTGTCTGAGTTTCCGATCCGTTCTTTGATGTTAGCACTGTAGGAAATGACTAGCTGTAGTTTTTTCAATAGGTTAGGTAACTGCGATAGTAAAACCGATATTCGATAAATGACAGTATATACTATAGGTACCTATCATGAAGTGAATAGGTACCTATTTACGATCAGATTAAAATATCCGATTTCGGCCCAATATCGTCAGATTAGCAGTCAAAAGCTGAAATCAATTCAGATATCTTTGATTTAGATCGGTTATTTATTTAGGCCTAGTACTTAAATACCCATTTAACGGTACCTACCTATGCCTAAAAATGTCCACGTAAATGTTTGTAAATATTTAGGTATTAGATACCAGATCGATTACAGTGTAATTATTACACGGTTTCCTAAGCTGGTAAATGAACCCGCGTTATGTTGTTTTGCATTTGTAACAGTACCTATCTTCTATAGCTCCAGGAGCCTTGATTGCACTTAGGTATTTTTTAAAGACACGTATTTTTAAAAGAGTTCCTAATGTGTGAGGTATCTAGTAGAGCTTTCTTCATACCAGTACGGTACCTGTTGAACGTCTACTGAACTTTAGGCTTACAGAAAACCCTAGAATCGTATTTTTTTTTTTTTTTTTTTTTTAAGGGGGGAAAATCATCGAATGACTGCCCCGCCTGGGTGAGGCGGGAGGGAGTGTCAGACTCTTACTGACTAAAAACCACCCCGTTCCTTCTCCTGCACGTCGAGCCGGAGCCCCGGTTACCCGTTAGGTTCTCCGCGACTCCGAATCGGCATCGGCCCTATTGGACCCCATCTGTGGTGGTCTGATGGCTCTTTGAGGCGCGCGCGGAACGGCGGAACGCGACGCGCCGTACGCTCGGGTCTGTTTCTGGTCGGACGGGGAGCCACCCATGCTCGCCGTCCGCAGGCCCGCGCTTACGGTGGCCGGAGATCGTCCCGCGATCCCCGACGCCCGGTGTGTCCTTCGCGATGGCTGGGTTGCGAGGAGGCAGCGCTTCGCTGCCTCACGCGTCCCGCCTCCTCCTTAGCTAGCATGACTGCTTCGCAAAAGGAGGAGACGGCATCCCAATCCCCCTCGCTCCGCATCATGGCCTGCACTAGGCCCGGACGCGAGAGGTCGCCATCGCCGATCACTTCCCTAAGGACACGGCGGTGCTCAGCCCACGAAGGGCATTCTCCCACCGTGTGTTCCACCGTGTCCTCAGGGCGGTCCTCGCAGTGATGACACCCGGGCGTTTCCTCCCGCCCCATCAGACACAGGTACCTCCCGAAACTGCCATGTCCGGTGAGGACCTGCGTCAGGCGGTAGGTGAGGACGCCGTAGCGTCTCTCAAGCCACTCCTCAAAGAGGGGACTTACCGCTGCAATGGCAGCGAGCCCAGCCCTCGGTTGCGACAGTCGTTGCTGCCATTCCGCCATGAGATCGCGCCGGAGCTCATCCCGCCACGCACTTATCTGGCGCGGCAGCGGAGTTTCGCCCCGGCGACGTGCCTCCGCGCGCATGCTGTGCACGCGCGCGAGCACCTTCGCCTCCAGATCCCACGGCGGTAATCCGGCAAGGAGGTTCGCCGACTCCCCAGAGATCGTGCGGTATCCGCGGATCATTCGGATCGCCATGACCCTCTGTGCCATGAGCAGCGTCCGAGCGGGACGCCGCAACAGGTTAGGCGCCCAAACAGGGGCGCCGTAGAGGGCCATGGACCGCACGACCCCGGCGTATAACCTCCGGCAGGAGGCGTTTGGCCCCCCGAGGTTGGGGAGGATGCGTTTAAACGCAGCCCCCGTCCTCTCCAACTTTGGAGCCAAACGTCGGAAGTGTACCCTAGAATCGTATAGGAACCTATTATAATAAACGGTAAGTCCTAACACTCGCTTAATGCGCTGTTGTTACTTATACAGGCTGTAACAGAATTAACACAAAACTTTACTGGCATCGCATGTCTTTGCTACTATTTTTCGAAATCCATCAAATATACTCTCAGTTTTTCATACAAATTGACTTTCGAGCAGTGTCAATTTATATTGAAACATCAAATATTATTTTTTTAGATTTCGTAAAGTGCTGAAACAAAAGTGGTTGCATTTCATGGTCAGACCCAGCACCTGCAAGGATTACATTATTCTATAACACCAAGTATAATAAGAAGCAATAAATTTTCTTTTCTATAAGTTCTTACGCAGTCAAGCTTTGTGTTACATAGGCATTGTCCATGATAACTCACATAGGAGAGGTTTTCTACTCTTTGATAACCCTTCATGAGATATTAGTTAGGTATATATAGGTAACTTACTTGATAAAATGTAGGTATAATTCCTTAATGAATATTAACTATTTAATCAATGGTTGCTATACTTCGACCCATAATTGTAGCTGGTGGTTAGTGGAATTGTCCCACAAAAAGTTGTTTTTTAGTTTAGGTTAAAGTAAAGTCACACAGAATTAACTAAAAATCCTGAGTAACCCGCGATGTATAGTTAATTTAGTATGTCTCACTCTCACTATAGTTAAAACTGTATTTTTAAAAGACGATATAGAATGTATTAGAATGGCATGCTTTTCGTCTGTACGGACGGTTACCTATAATTGTAAAACGTTTGTTTAATACAACTATTTAGTTTACATTACACAATATGGGTCGAGTTATAGTTACTCCAATAAATATTACAACTACAAATATAATATTGATTCAAACAGTGTACATGTTAACGCGGTTAAATATGTATTTTAAATGGTTACATGTGTTAGCTAATACTTGAATATTTGCCTCACAGCAAAATTTTACAATCGTCAAATAACTTTTAAACGACGGTGTAATATGATTTGAATTTTCTATCAAATCGTTGAACGTACTTATGTTGAGTAGTCTCGATACAAGTAGGTTCAACGGATTTGTGACCATACCTATAGGCTTATTAGTGTTTAGTACACTACACTATTGCGGCGGCGTTATTTTATTATTTTTAATTAAAAATTATTTGACGAATGAGTGCCCTTAAAAATAGGAAATTATAACAATTCTAATAACACATGTGAAACGAAATCATAAACAATTTTATAAATCCTGGGCAACATAAATATCCAGTTATTAAAAGTACGCACAACAGTTATGATTTGTTCGTCTCCAAACTAAATAAGAATTAAATAGAGGCGTACTATGTAGCTCGGCTGCCCATCGTAAAAAACGAAAAACACAGAATATCATAACATATAAAAATAGAAAATATTAAAAACATCATAAAAATAACATTTACAATACACGTAATGAATTAAACAGTTCCTTAGTTCTAATACTTTTGTCCTGATTTTGGCTGTTTGCGGACACGGTTAAGTACCTACCTACACGTTTTGTAAAAACAGGCATTTGGTACAGATCGCATTTAGTTACCTACCTTAGTTCGTGTAGGCATCCAACATTTTTATGGGTATATCAATCATGTCAAAATTACTGAATACAATAAAATAGATATCGCAAAATTAATCACAAATAATAGCAAAGATGTCATGATCAGTAATTTGAAGAGAAGGCAATTAAATTAATAGGGGAATAGAAAGTTAAATTAATCTTAATTAGTTGGACCACGTATGATAGGTTTAAAGCTTTTGTGTAAAAAGATAGTAGAAACATTATAGGTGTATTTAGAATAGGCTTCTAAAATTTTTAAAACATTTCCAAAATAACAGCATGTATGCAAATAACCATTTATTCCGTTTTGCAGGTCTCTTCCAACTGCTCGATTCGTTTTTTCAGCGTTGCAATAGTGTTTTCGATATCATGTTGTGAATCTTCCAGGCCATCGATGCGCGCTTTATCAATTAGAATATCATCCTCCATTTCAGTGTCTCTACGAGCTCGCCGTTTTGCTCGTTCCAGTCCTCCGTTATCGCCACAACTTTCACAGTCAGCCCAGTAGCGTAAGTCCATGGATGGCAAATCCTCGCAAGAAACCATACCGTCTTGAACCTCAGGAAGAAGAAACACGTTTTCGCCAATTGTATCAATGTTGTCACCATTGTCGCAGAGGATTCGTGCCAGACTTGTTTCTTTTAATTGCCGGAGTTGATCTGGTTTGAAAACGGATGGGTTTTCATACCAGAACCTATCTCCATCTCGGAGACGTTGGAACTGTTCAACTAGCAAACATCTAAATAAGGGCCCTACTTTACCACCTTCTACTTGATTTTCAAGGATACCTCCAACCCAAACGTCAATGTTATGCACGGATCCATAGAGCTCCTTCAACTTTTCACGTACCGTTTCGTCACTAATCTCTCCAGCCAAATCATCAAAATCATTTACTTCAGACATATTGCAGAATTGGCGCCATTTTGTGTACGGAGGAATACCATGATCGCGGCTTCGCTGGATGTTGATAGCTGCCAAATCAAGAGCTACGGCGTGGGCACTATAAAATAACTTTTCAGTCAATTCGGAATTTAAATTTTGTGTAGGAGTTTTTAGCTTAGCCGGTGTTGTAAACATGCCTCTCAATAAAGGATCTACCCCACCTTCGTCTACGAGTCTCCAGGGAGAGAAAAAGGCGTGACGAAGTAAAAGATGGCCTTCTGCGATTGGTTCAAAGTTTTCATCGTAACGGTGTAGCAGTGGATTTATCATTGAATGTCCAAATCGTAAAGCAGCAGTCGCGAACACGTTAGACACTGACGGATTCAGGTTAGGATCATACTCTTTATAATGGCCTAGTTGATTTATTCCTTCTTTGCCCAAAATAATTGGGAGCCAATGCTCGTAAGTTATGATTTGTATCTGTGCGCCTACAATCTTTCTTGCTTCTTGATAGACTCGGTCACCATCCCAAAATGGATTCAACACTTTTAGTTGAATGGCGATTCGGTTATGCTCACGCATCCAAATGGTATGCATTGCTGCTAAACCAATTTGTTCGTTAGCTCTGATGTCACCAGCCACAAAACAATTGCGGTTACTTTCATCCAAATTCCGCCTACAGTCCATTCCATTAATACCAACGGTTGGAAGTAAAGGCTTTCTGCCTGGGAAAGTCACACCCACACGCAATAATCCGTTTTCATTCGTTAAGTCTCTTAGGTCTTCTGCTACAGATTTTTCAAAACCATATACTTGTGACGCATCTATAAAAGACGTCAGTTGATTGATTTGCTCTCGTGGTTGTAGGGTTCCGAACAGAACCGATGTCATACCGGAACCGCATACTGCACTTGTTCTGATAAAATCAATACAACGACGGTTGGTGACTCGAGGGTCATTAGGAGGTACGTCTATTGGAAAACATGGTGCTGCATAAGCACAGGTCTTCTTACAATCTACGCCGTCCCATGTCTGAGAACTCACTGATGGTAAAGCATGGTCTAAATCATGGTCTAACCACTGGCCCCATTGCATGACCATGTGGGTCAACTGTTGATCTTCAGAAATATCTTCGGTTGTTATTATAGAGGTAGATACTAGACGAGCGCTTGGTAGCGAGAAGCCATTATATTTAATGCCTTTGTTCCATCCTACCGGTTGACTAAATCCGTTTTCATATATAGGGAAGAGAATTCGTCTAAATCCGCTAAGTGACGATCCCCAAGTAGGATGAGCAAAATTATTACAGCTTCCATCATAACTACGGTATTTGCTGTGATAACACATATCAGAACAATCGTTTTTGTCTCTATGAGCGACACAACCAGATAGACGTGCAATTACCTCAAGATGTTGATTGGATAATACGTTCTGGTATAAGAACGGTTCAGCCGAGGTTACCTTATGGCCAGTTTGAATAAAATCCCTGACTTTATCTAAAGTTCGTTCATATATTTCAGCAGCGCGAGCTACTTCTCTAGCTGGTGCATTCGGGAAACTCGTAATTCGATACAATCGACTAATATCTGTTTTGGAAGTGTTATTGTTGTTAAATAACTCATCCATGGTTCGCTCTATAGCGAGGTCAACGTCTCTTGTCGCTTCAGTCAGTGCTATATTCACATATTCGTCGCCAGGTATAACACGGTCTTTAACAGTTAAGAAAGCTGACGCGGTATCGCGGCCATATTCATTGAAAACTGAACACTCATATCTGCCTGTATCTCTTACTGTCAAATTATGCAGGATTAAACTTCCAATTATTGTTATTGAATGTTTTCGACTGTCATCTAAGTACGATCCGTCTTTTCTCCACTCTACTGTGGCAGGAGGCTCACTTTCAATTTCACAAGGTAACTGAACTGATGATTCTCTATAAGCGTCAGTGTCCTCAGGTTTCAATACAATACGTGGGCGAATAATTTCATAGTTCTCAATAGTTAAGTAAGCTGATCCTTCAACATAGCCTTCAGCGTTTTCTGCTCTGCAGTGGTAAATACCTTCATCATCTTCAGTGACTGACAGAATGGTTAAATTTTGGTTATTATCACTCAAAATGATGTTTTCAGATAATGGTAAAACTAATGTATTTCTAAACCAGTTTATAAGTGGTTTTGGTACTCCTTTAGCAGTACATATAAATTCCACGTCGTCACCAACTTTTACCGTTTTGTTATGTGGTTCCAGGAGAAATGTAGGCGGAACTAAAACAAAATATAACATTACATAAGTTACAAACAATATAATATAACATCTACATGGATGATAAGGGATGGACTGGCTGATATATCTAACTTAAAAAGAAATCCTTGTATGTTATACTGCAAATATATTCTGGAACTGAACAAGTGAAAAACTAAAGGCTTACTTTGATTTGCAAGAAAATCCTAAACTAATAAAATAAATATTTAAATTGCAAATTAAATAATAGAGCAATATTAACAAAATTATGTAAAAACTTACCCATCACTTCGAGTGCTGCAGATGCATTCACTTTTCCATTAATGTTTTCAACCAGGCACGTGTATAAGCCTGCATCCGACTCTTGAATGTTAGCAATAAAAATAGATCCATTTGACCGTATTGAAATACGTTCATTCAATAAAATCCTCTCGCCATTGAAACGCCAAGCAACGTGAGGTTTTGGGTGTCCATTTGCGGCACAGTCAAAGTTAATAGACTCCTGGTCAAGCTTGGCAAACTGTTTTTGTGGTTTTACGGTAAATACAGGAGCGGCTAAAACAAAACAACAATACAGTTACGTTGAACTACATTCAGTATAATTAAATCAGTGTCCTAAGTAATGTTATATTACCGTTCTCCAAATTCTCACTGTCTCGTTTTCGTTGGACCGTCATTTTAGCTGGTTTAGAGTGCACTTCACCAACAGGATTTTTAGCCATGCATTCGAAATATCCAGTGTCAATATCGCTAATGTCGTGGAGCATCAGAGTCCCGTTATCCATAACCTCATAACGGGTCCCGTCGATAGGAATTTCGTTAGAGTCTCGTAGCCAAACTATCTCAGGGGTGGGGTCGCCAGTAACTACACAAGTGAACATAGCTGCATCTCCGAAATTCACTGTAATGTCCTCTGGGTCCTTCTGGATTTCGGGAATTTCTAAAATAAATTATTTTATTAACATTGGAGACTTAGAAATCAGAAACTAATGTTCACTAAAGAGGTTTGGATACTCACTGCATTCGAAGTCCCGTTCTTCCATTATAGAAAGTGGCATTCCTGTGACTCGGGCAGGCTGATAACACGTGGCGTCGATGTACATATCGTTATGTTGGGACATCATCTTCACGAGCCACAGCATAGAACAGTCACATATGAGGGCATTGCTGTCTAAACGTAGTTTGCGCAGTTTAGGCATATCCGAGAATGACCCTACTGGAATCCTCTTGATGTGATTATTGTGTAAGTATCTAAAATCAATTTGCTTTGTGAGTATAATGGTAAGGAGATATAAAACTAGGTGTATAATAAAATAATGAACAGGGGGACTGGCTGTTTCTTATAGAAAATTATACAGAACCCATTGTGCGGGACATCGACGTGCACTTGGCTGGTTTTTCTAAGTACTTACAATCTCTCCAAATGTGGCAAATTGGAAAACGTTTGCGGGTCGATTTGGTGGATCTCGTTAATGTGCAAGTACCTGAAACAAAGAAAACACTTTACATAAATGAATATTGTAATAAATTAAAACTTCTTAAGAAGAAATATAGAGGTAAGTACCTCTACACTACGGCATTAGATAAATCTGTCCATGTGCTTATATGGGTGCATAAAGTTTTTAAATAAAAAAAATATTACCCTATTCATAGCAAAACACCAATCACATGGAATTTTGTCGGATGTGTGAAAAAGAGACGGCAATAGGAAACCTGTTGAATCCATCAATAAATTATCAAGTTAGTACATATCTACTCAGGCATTATAATACGCAAAGGTATCGAAGTACAATTCAAGGGTTTGTTCTTACTTTCTAAAACCTAAGTAGAATAGAAATGTCTCATCATCATCATCATCATCAACAGCCGTAGCATAAATGCACACTGCTGAGCATAGCCTGTTCTCACACGGAGAAGGTTTGAGCATGAATCACCACGATTGATCAAGACCAATACGGATTTGCAGAATGGAAATGTCGAGCGTATCTGGTCTACCTGTCGCGGAGAACCTAACGGGTAACCGGGGCTCCGGCTCGACGTGCAGGAGAAGGAACGGGGTGGTTTTTAGTCAGTAAGAGTCTGACACTCCCTTTCGCCTCACCCAGGCGGGAGCAGTCATTCGATGATTTTCCCCCCTTAAAAAAAAAAAAAAATCTGGTCTACCTACCCGTTATAATTAATGTGTTTTTAATAAAATGACTTGACTACCCGTGACTTGTTAAAGAAGAAAATAAATATAAATGGAATTTAAGAAGGGATAGTTATTGTTAGACACAGCAACTGCATTGGAGTCTTTGTTGATTTTCGCAGCATTTAACACTTTTGTAATTCAGTGTTTCGATCTTATTCGTGTAAGTAATTTATAAATAAGAAGTCTTCCTTCCCGGCTAACTTGGCACTACTTCGTACAGTGCAAAGTTTGTCACAAAGGTCAAAGCTTTGACACTCATTTGAAGTTCTTACATCGACGGACTTCACAAGGAGTATATCAAGATCTAGAACAAGAGGAAAATACAGAGATAAGCTCCTATGTTTTTATAAAAAATCTAGCTGTTGCCCGCGACTTCGTCCGCGTAGAATATGTTTCCTGTTTTATTCCATTAAAGCATTTAATAAAAAATATCCTATCACCTAAGTCAGCCCATATCCTACCTGTATACCAAATGTCATCAAAAAACGTTCAGTACTTTCAGCGTGATTCACACGTCGTCAATCACAAAGAAAGTTACACATTTATAATATTAGTGTGATGTGGTTTATTCTAGCTACCAACTTTACTTATTCTGTTATTACAACGATAAGATGCGTAAGCTGATGGTAAGCAATTTGCGCTTTGCGCCGCCCATGGACACCCGCAACACCAGAGGTGTTAGATACAAAGGCGTTGCTGGTCTTTGGAGAGTTACGGATATAAGGATTAAAGGAGTTGGGAGGGGAGGGATTGGGCCTCATAGACGCGAACATAACGCAAGGATTGTTTCACGATGTTTCTCTGTGAGGCCGTAGTATCACTTCTGTTGAGCCATCGTGGCGAAACATGATGAGTGACTACGTGTGGGATACATATCTGACCTCTATCAAGAGATGAACAGATTAAAGTATCCATTATGAAATCTGAGAGAAGAAGTTACAACAATAAAGTTCATTTCGTAAGTTTTCTAGTACACGATCATCGGATGAATAAGGGTAATAAGTGGTGTTTAAGACTTTAGTTTATGAAGCGCCTCTGTGAAAGTAAGATCTTGAAAGTACTTGTAGTTTGAAGTACCTGTGGGTTCCTTTCACTTGAACATCGAACTTAGTTTGAACCTAGATACATACTACTTTTCATGCTACGAGTGAGAATTACCAAGCTTATTATAATTAAGTCGGTCCACATTATAGTTTTCTATCGATACCGGTTATACCTATGTGATATCACTGAGATCATGTATGTGTACTTATTCGAGAAATATATACTATACCTAATAATGACTAGTAGAAAGCATATGGTATCTCGGCATAATAGAATACATTTGTCATGTTACTTCTTTGGGTGTCATAGTCATAAAAGTCAACTAACGTCCAATTTCAATAACCTATCTATCTGTAGATTTGCTTACTAGAGATAGAATTTTGACATGAGCTCCATACAAAAAGTGTCAAAATTCTATCTCTAGTAAGCAAATCTACAGATAGATAGGTTATAGAAACTGACTGTTAGGCTTTACACATTTTGACAGATCTCGCGCAGCAGTGCTCTCTGATATGTATCTGTATAAATAAAAATTAATTTCCGTTCGTTAGTCTCGCTAAAACTCGAGAACGACTGGACCGATTCGGCTTATTTTGGTCTTGAAGTGTTCGGGGAAAGTCAGAGAAGGTTTAAAATGTAAGAATTTTTTTTTAAGATGTTACGATGTTTACCTGATTAGATAGTTAAGTAATAAAACTCAGTTGAACTTTTTTAACTGCGATCTCGAATTCGTATACCAAGGGTAAAGACTATGGCGAACGCTCTTACATAGGCGCATAGTCACGCAAAACACTATGTAGTGATATTAAACGTTACTGCAAGTGGATACGAACAACAAATTGATAGTTTTATTAAATCACTCTTAATTAGTTTGAAAATAAGGCCGTATTTACTTAGCCTTGCTTAGAAATATAATCATAATAATACCTAACCCAGTAGGTAGACGACGTGATTATGAGTTCTTAATTGAACTGAATTGCCTGAACTTTGACTGCTCAGGCTTAGCCAACAATAAGTGGCTGACCTTACTGGTAAATATACCTACATAGGTACATAATTATTATTATAGTTCAGTTACGCAAATACAAGATATTTTCATTACATACCTAAACACTATTAATAGAAAACAACCATGCCTGTAATAAATATTTGGAACTTATTTATATGAATACTACTGAACGAAAGCTTCTCTTCTTGAAGGTGGTTTTCAATTTCAATAACTTGGAGTTATGGAAAACCATCTTGGTGGGCTTGTGGATCACAGTCACCGAAAATGTCGGTGGTCAGTTTTAAAACCCGGATCAGTGTTACTATTTACCATTTTAAAACATTGTTTCAACTTCGTCAAACTCAATGCAGTAACTCAAACGACACTTGACTCATTTAATTTAATAATCACAAAATGAGAGCTCTTTAAATTTTATATTGTAAAATGTAAAACGACGAGAACAGATGTTGGTTGGCCTGCGTCACAATCGACTACAATTTTATTGAGAGTCCATTATGAAATTGTCAACTGCTCCTGCAACCAGTAATCATATAGCGACATAAATCATTGCCATTATAGCAACTAATTTTTAAATTGCATAAATGGCTGCCCACAGAGGCACACAAATTGAGAACAATTGAACATTGAACTTAATTTAAGAAGCTTATCATTCAACATTGGCAGTGTAAGCTGTAGAAATAAAAAGTATTCGTGTTTTATTTTTGTTTCATGCACAAATAATCCTTATTTCTTTCATTTGACATTGTTCTATATTTAGGGATAATTTTTCAATACACAAACAGAATTTAACTGAGCAATAACATTCTTTAATTGACAATTCTTCCATACCTACAAAAAGCTGTCAAATGTCAATTTTATTGTACGGGAATTAACTGATGTTTGTAAAATCGGCCCTTAGTAGTTAACCGAACCGAGGTACGAAAGGACTGGCCATTAATATACTGAAAGACATCAATTTTGTGTCAGACTTATTTATTATATAAATACACACCATTTTGTTTCTATTAGGTACCATTTAATGTAGTGGCACATTGAGGATGAATCCGTCGCGATATTTTCCAACACATTCGACGTAAATAGGTATGCAAAATGTTTTATTTCTGCATTATTCATTTTAAGTCTGCAGTTGTTGGTCAAAAAGATACGAAATTGCAGCATATCGTTATGTCTGTTAAAATAAACATTCTAAAACATTTATAAACACACTAAATGAATACCTATATTGTACCAAAAATGTCAATTCTCGACATGGGTATACTATAATATCTATAAATTCAAATTCAAATTTTTATTGCAGTACAATAGGTGTTACATAATGGGGTACAGTTTCAACATGAAACCCAATTAGGGCACGGCTACATATAGAGCAAAATATAATCCAATTAAATTACTAACAATATTATAAAAAAGTTATTATTTTCTTTCTAAACAATTTCAATTATTGCTTAAATTTATTATACTTAACATGTATTTACATATATTTATGTTAATTGTATGTAGTTTATGTAGGTACTACTATGAATTTTAGTTAGGTGTCTAGAATCTAGATTGTGCAAGAATGCATAATTATGTCACACATCCAACCTATATTTCCGATTTGAATGTTTTGCTAACAAACCCGAACGGTATGTCCATGCAATTAATGCTCGAAATGCACGGTCAAAATTTTCGCACGTAACTATGAAATCATGATGATGACGAGCAGTCATCTCATTGGCATTCCATGGACATTGGACATGGGCATTTATAATTAGAAATAGATATCGATAGAAGGATTCTGTATCACTTCAAACTTCCAATGAAATCACGAGCACAAGCTTTAGTGGTTAGTTCACACACATATAGGTACTATACTTCCATATTACACTTTAGGTAAACGTACTTTCATACTCGCTCTGCACACATACGAGCTAGAAGTCTAAAACACTCGATGACATGACGTCACATGTCGTGGCTTCGACGGTAAAACATCGTGTTGCGATACAAAGTCATGTCACAGTACCTACCTAATGCACGAACACGATGCTACCACATTTTATGATATAAATAAAATGACGCATCGTGGCAAGTAAATATCAAAATTTAGTACAGAATATGAAAGTAAATAAATTATTTATTAATATGATATGGGTAACAAAGAATAGGTAAATGATTTAGGTTGTCGTGCAACACGTTGGGATTCTCGACACGGCACCATGCTGTTCGTAGCACAATGATAGGAGTTCGTGTCATGAATTTTT